CTCTGCCTCTCATTCTCTCTCTGTGTTTCTATGAATAAATAAATAAAATCTTTTTAAAAAAAAAAAGAAATACGTTTTTGTCCCTGGTCATGCACAGAGCTCCTGAAACCCTTAGAATTTCCTATGATAAGAGTGATCAAGGTGTCTTTTGTTAGGGTAAGGTGGTGATTTTTGGAAAGGCCCAGGGTCACCCGAGGAAGAGGGCAGGTCACTCGTCAGGGAAAGCAATCGTGGATAGAGGGTGGAACCAGTCAGTGCCACCCCCTCCCGCCTCCAGGGAGGGGACAGGGGCTGCAGGTCGACTTCATCATCAGTGATCAATGATTGAATCAAGCCTGCCTTTGTAATGAGTCTCCTTGAAACCCCAAAGGGCAGGGTTCAGAGAGTTTCCTGGTTGGTGCGCGCATGGAAATTTGGGGAAAGTCATGCGCGTGGACGTAGCACCCCTCCCCTACACCTTGCTCTCTACGTCTCTTCCGTCGACTGTTCCTGACCGAGTTGTGTCTTTTTGTAATAAAACTTTGTGATCGGGGCGCCTGGGTGGCTCCGTGGTTGAGTGTCTGCCTTTGGCTTCTGTCGTGATCCTGGGGTCCTGGGATCAAGTCCCCCATCAGGCTCCCTACAGGGAGCCTACTTCTCTGTGTGTCTCTTATGAATAAATAAATAAAATCTTAAAAAAAAAAAAACTTTATCATCTAGTAAGTGAAATGTTTCTGAGTTCTGTGAGCCACTCCAGCCAAGTACTCAAACCCAAGGAGAGGGTCCTGGGAACCCCTGATTGACACCCAGTTGGTCAGAAGCATAGGTGACAACGATTTAATTTGGACACATATGGCAGCTGGCCAGTGACAGAGGACTGAGCCCTTAACCTGGGGGCTCCCACGCTGTGTCCAGGTAGAGTGTCGGAACTGAGTTGAGCTGTAGGATAGCCGGCTGGCATCGTGGGGTCGGGGAGAGGCCCACCCGTGGGAAATGGAATCAAATTCGTAGACTTTAAAAATGCAGACGCTTTAAGTTGCAGAGAGAGAAGGGCCCGCATCATAGATGCATAGCCCAGTGAATTTTCTCAACCAGAATAGCACCTGGATCAGGAGACAGAACATGCCAGCCCCAGGCAACCCTACAGGGCCCCTCTGGTCACTGCCTGTCCCCAGAGCAGCCTCCTGTCCGATGTCCAGCAATGTGGTAGGTGGAATTAAGCCTACCCAGGACCCTTAAAGGTACCCACATCCTAGTCCTGGAGCTTCGTGTGACAAAGAGGAGTAGAGGTTGCTGGTCAGCTGACATTGAGATGGGGGCTGACCCCAGATTCCCTAGTGTCATCACAAGGGCCTTTATAAGAGGGAGGCAGGAGGTCAGAGAGACAGTGATGTTGGCTTTGGAGACAGAAGGCGGGAGTGCAAGTGGCCTCTCGAAGCCAGAAGAGGCAGGAAGGGATCCCCCCTGGAGCTCCCGAAGGAGCACAGCCCCTCCCAACCTCCCAGCAAGACCCCTTCCAGACTCCGGCCCCCCAGAACTGTGAGAGAAGAAAGCTGCATTGTTGTAAGCCCCCACATGAGTGGGCACGTGCGACAGTGGCCACGGGAAACTAATGCCAGCCTCCTAGGTTGGTCTTGCCTGCTGTTGAACTTTATAAAAATGGAACCCGATGGGTGTGCTTCCCTCCCTCTGGCTCATATCTTGAGGGTGTTCAGTTCTTGGGGGCTCTGCCTCCAAGATATCTCTGCAGGGGTGCCTGGCTGGTTCAGTCGGAAGAGCGTGGGGCTCTTGATCTCCAGGTCGGGTCATGAGTTCAAGCCCCATGCTGGGTGTAGAGAAAATAAATAAATAAATAAATAAATAAATAAATAAATAAATAAATAAATAATCAATCAATCTAACTAACTAACTTACTTAAAAAACAAAGAGTCTCTAGAAACGTGCCCCTCCTCTCCACCCCCTCCCGGGGGAGAGCACCTCCTTGCGGCCTCCCGAAGGCCACTTCCCACGTGGCCGCCAACACCCCACGGCTTGTCTCCTCATCTAAAATAAAACCAAGGGCCACAGAAGCTCCAGACTCCATGAGTGGAAGTGGAAAATGGTACAGCTACCCCCAGAACACAGTCTGGCTGTTGCTTATGAAGTCAAACAGGCAGCCGCCCGGGGATCTAGGAATTCCACTCCTGGGGGTTGACCCAGTGGGTGTGAACATTCATAACAGCTTTGCTCAAAATCACCCCAAAGGAGAAGCATCCCGATTGCTCATCAACAAGAAGGCAATAACCTATTGTGGTATATTTATATGTATCCATGATTTAGTAATAATAATAATAATAATAATAAAGCAGTAGCAGCAGCTACCGGTAGACCCCATGACGTGACTGCATCTCAGAAACATTACACGGAGTGAAAGTAGCCAGACACACACACACAAAAAAAAGCCAGACACAAAGATGGGGGGTGTGATTCCATGTATGTGAACTTCTAGCACAGACCATAAATATGCGGTGGAAACAAAGCTCGGAACAGAGGGTACCTTTAGGACGGGGAGATGGAGATTGACCAACAAGGGACACGACAGCTTTGTGGAGGGACGAGAATGTTCGTGGCTAGAGGCTGCATCACGCAGGGACCTGCATTTGTCCGAACTCGGCTGCTGTACCCTTAAGGATTTATGCATTTCGCTCTAGTAAATTTTACCTTGAAAGGGGAAAAAAGAAAACCCATTAGCAAATATTGAAGCCTAGCTAATGATCTGCATGCTGAAATATTTAGAGGTGATGGGGCTCGATGTCTGCTGCTTTTTTTTTTTTTTTGGTAAGATTTTATTTATTCATGAGAGACAGAGAGAGAGAGAGAGAGAGCAGGCTCCTTGCAGGGAGCCTGATGTAGGACTCGATCCCAGGACCCCGGGATCATGCCCCGAGCCGAAGGCAGACACTCAACCGCTGAGCCACCCAGGCGTCCCTTGATGTGTGTTGCTTACTTTAAAAATGCATCCAGAAAAATAAGATGGCCTGATGAGGGGGGATGGAGGGGAGGATGGATGCGCTGGCCGATGTGCAATAGAGCAGATGAGCAAACTGTGGACAGTAGGCCTCAGTGGTGGGTTGTGGGTGTTCCCTGTAAATTCTTTCGGCTTTTCTGTGGGTTTGAAATTTTTAATCATGCATGTTGGGGGAAGTCATCCAGATTCCTCCCTGAAGCCCACAGGCCCTGCATGACCTGCCCCTGTCCCTCTCCTTCCTCTCTCCCCATCACTCATTCTGCTCCAGCCACAGGGGTGTCTTGCTGCTCCCCCAACACTCTGAGCTCAGTTCTGCCTCAGGGACTTTGCACCTGCTGCTCATTTCTCTGAAAGTCCCTCCCTACCACCCCTTTTCTCTTCTGCATAAACCCAGGCCTTCCTTGTCTCCAGGTCTCTGCTCAGATGGCACCTCCTTAGGCTTTCATTGGTCACCCCATTTAAAATCATGGTACCCTGCTTATTTTCTAGCAGGCCCCAGCACACAGTGTCATTTCATTTATGAATCTGTTTACTTGTGTGGTGGCTGCCCCCCCCCTCCCCACCGCTGGGCTGAGAGCTCCATGGGGATAGGAATGTGTCTGCTTTTTTCCCTGCTGTGTCCCCAACACCTAGCCACATGCTGGCATAAGTCAATCAGAGAACACCTCATGGATGGATGGTTGGACAGATGGACAGCTGGGTAGGCGGATGGATGGATGGATGGATGGATGGATGGATGGATGGATGGACAGGTAGCCAGCTGGGCAGGTGAATGGATGAAATAACATGACAGGATGGATGGATAGATGGATGACTGGTGGGTGGGTTGGCTGGTAGGCGGTTGGAGGGACAGATGGACAGAAAATGAGTGGAGGAACAGACAGGTAGATCAGCAGGTAAGAAGATGGATGGATGGATGGATGGATGGATGGATGGATGGGCAGGCAGGTGGATGATGGACAAACAAGTGGGCAGGCGGATGGATGAACAGAGGATGGGCTGGATGGATAGATGGATGACTGGTGGGTGGATTGGCTGGTAGATGATTGGAGGGACAGATGGTTGGACAGACAATGAGTGGATGGACAGACAGATCAGCAGGTAAGAAGGTGGATGGAGGGACGCCTGGGTGGCTCAGTGTTTGAGCATCTGCCTTTGGCTCAGGGCATGATCTCGGAGTCCCGCATCGGGCTTCCAGCATGGAGCCTGCTTCTCCCACTACCTGTGTCTCTGCCTCTCTCTGTCTCTCATGAATAAATAAATAAAATGTTAAAAAAAAAAAAAAAGGTGGATGGATGAGGTGGGATGGATGGATGAGATGGGACTGATGGACAGATGGATGGATGTAAGGACAAATAAACATCCCGAGTGGGGACCAGTGTGGGGGTGGATCACTTAAGATCTTGGGGGGGGGCAGAGCTGCTGGGGCTCCTCAGGACGGCGCTGGAGAGCTTTCATGCCCTGCCTGCCGCTCCAGGGACCTGGCGGGCCCGGCCACACACTGGGCTCTGCGGCAGAGCCTCGTGGCAGGCGGTGCCGGCGTTCACGCCTGGGAGGATGGCCAGGGAGGGAATTGCGGGTTTCCTCAACTTTGGCATCTTTGGGCTGCGCTGGGGACACCTCCCCATGGTGTGGGAGACCTTCCCGGACGCTTGGGAACCCGAGCTTACGCCCCCCGTCAGCCAGTCTCGTAACTTCTAGCTGCCTTTTTTATATCCATAAGGTGCCAAATAATGAGTGTTTCCACGAGGTGTGCTTTGAGGGTAGCAGGCACCGGGGCAGCCCTTTGTGGGCCTCATCAGGCTGGGCTGACGGGTGGGCTGCTGTCCCCGTTGGACACATGAGCTTGCGGTTCAGAGTGGTCGGGTCACTTGCCCGAGGGCACACAGCGCAAGTCTGTCCTTGACACGGGCAGTCATAAAGCCGAGGTCACCAGGCACTGGGGAGGGGTGGGTGGGGATGGGGGGGTCCTCCCGCATGCCGAGCTCCTGCTAACCGGACCCTGTGCCCACAGGATGTGGTCCAGCCTCAGCGAATGGTTCTGGCAGGACAGGTTCTGGCTCCCACCCAACAACACGTGGGCTCTCCTGGAGGACCGGGATGGCCTGGTCTTTGCTCACCCCCGGGACTTGCTGGCAGCCCTGCCCCTGGCGCTGGCCCTGGTGGTCATGCGCTTCACCTTCGAGAGGTGAGTGTCTGCATCATTGCCACTCCCAGGGGGTGCGGTGCTCACCCCGAAGCCTGTGTGGCTTTGTCCTGGGTGGAGCCTGGCTGGGAGCCCCCGTGCCTTCCCCGGCCCCCCTGGAGCTGCTGCCGCCCACACTCGTCCAGCCTCTGATGGCTGGGCTGCGGTCACGCACTAGGCTGGGTGTGCCAGCGTCGTCAGCGAATGGGTGGAAGCCCCAGGGGGCAGGTCCTTGCTCTGCTGACCAAGGATGGCTCTGCGGAGGCCACTGAGCAGAGGAACTCTTGCCCACTCGCTCCTGCCTCTCTCCTGTAGGCTGGGCCCCTCTAGCCCACCCCGACCCCCTTGGAGCCCTTAGCCCCCCTTAGGCCCCCACTTGGGGTCCCTGGCTTTGTCCTGCCCTGACCGCAGGGACATGGGAGCTTCGTGCATCTTGCTTGGTCTCTCCATTCCTGAGGATTGCCCTGGATACAGGCTGACCCAGGGCACCCAGGGAAGACCCATGAGGTGGTATTTCTTTGACACCAACCACCCCCCTCCCTGAACGCCTGCCCCAGGCTCACCGTTGCTCTGAGCTGCGTCTTAACTCAGGTCTCGGTGCGACCCCGTGAGGCGGGACTGTCATGGTCCCCGTTTTACAGATAGGAAATGGAGGCACAGAGAGGTCAGGGGCCTGGCCTGTGGTCACACAGGGGGTAGGTCATCTGGGACCGAGGCTTTGCCTGAGGGATTCTAAGGGGCCCAAGTCCGTCAGGATTGTAAGGGTGAGTCCCCACCTTTCCCGCAGGGCGGGGAGGGCGCGAGACTGTGCCCGGGTTCCCTACTGCAGCCTGGGGTTGGGGGGGAGTGTATTTAACTGATGGCTTCATCAGACGTTAGTTACCACATCCTGCCCCTTCTCCTTTCAAAGGGCCGTGGGGCTTAGATAGCCTTTCCCGGGTTGAAGGCAGAGGTTTTTGCCATTTTTTTTTTAAAGATGGTATTTATTCATGAGAGACACAGAGAGAGAGACATAGGCAGAGGGAGAAGCGGGCTCCCTGTGGGGGCCTCGATCCCAGGACCCCAGGATCACGACCTGAGCCGAAGGCTCTCAACCACTGAGCCATCCAGATGCCCTGGTTTTTTGTTTGTTTGTTTAAAGATTTTGTTTATTTATTCATGAGAGACATACAGAGAGAGAGGCAGAGACACAGGCACAGGGAGAAGCAGGCTCCCTGCAGGGAGCCCGACGTGGGACTCGATCCCAGGACTCCGAGATCACGCCCTGGGCTGAAGGCAGGTGCTAAACCGCTGAGCCACCCGGGCTGCCCGATGCCCTGGTTTTTGCCATTTTTAAAATAAATCTTGGGCCAGTCTGCTCCTGCCTTGTTCTGTCACCTTGGGCGCCTCTCTGGCCTGAGCCTCAATGTACCCATCAGGACAGTAGGGACCTTGACGAGAGTGAAATGAGCCAGCACGTACCGTGGACTTGCACCCCTGCTTGGCAGGTGTAAGCACTTGGTAAACGACAGCCCTGTCCTCCTCTGCTCCCCGTTGTGATGGAGTCTGGAATGAGTTCCCTGGGCTGCCCCGAACCTCAGTTTCCCCAAATGAAGGGTGACGTTGGGATGCTGGCTATGCAGTTCCGTCCGGACGCCTGGCCCTGGGGGCCCCCGGTGATGGGCCGGGGATCGGGCTCCTCCACCTGTCCACACGGGGAGAAGGTGCAGCCGGCGTGAGGGCCCGGAGCACCATGAGACGGGCAGTGAGGGGACTCTCATTCCCGTCTGGGACTGTGTGGAGCTCCCCGGGACCCCGAAAGTTAACCTGCACATCCCCACCCTGAAGACCCACCGCCCAGCTGTCTTTCTTGGGTTCGGTCCCGATGCAGCAGCCAGGCCACCCCACCAGGCTCCCAGCGTCCCACTTGGCCCCTCTGAGCCTCGGTCTCCCCACCGGGATTGACAGGCTGTCTCCCCTGAACCCAGATTTGTTGGCCTGCCCCTGAGCCGGTTGCTAGGTGTGCGAGATCAGGCCAGGAAGCCGGTGAAGCCCAATGCCACTCTGGAGAAATACTTCCTCACGAAAGGGTGGAAGCCCAAGGAGGTGAGAGGCCCCCCCATGCCCCCCTCCATCGCCATCGGCCTGCACAGCCCCCTGTGGGTGGGGCCCAGTTGTCAGGAACAGGGAAAGCCCGGGGCAGTCTCTGCACCCCCACAGTGCTCCTGTCCTGCCCCCCACCAGCCATGACCCCCGCGAGCCATCCCAGCTGTCAGGGGGACAGATCCTGGGCCAGGTGCAGGGGGAGCAGGGAGGCCTCTGGGGCGACCAGAGCAGGCCTGTGACCCCTCCCCGTTGCTGTCCGCAGGCAGGGCCCTCTCCCTCCCTTGTCAGCCTCCCTCTGCACGTAGGGTAGGAGGCAAGGCCTCCGCGGAGCCACTGTTCTGGAAGGGTATAGAATAAAGCTCTGTGGGGGAGGAGGCTGGCCCACCCCCAGCCCCATTCTTAGCCCCAGTCCCCACCAGCCACCTGCCTCTCCTGTGAGCAGGGCCGGTTTTCATGTGGTCTGTTTGGGGGGCCACCCCCCACCCCCATGGGCCTCTCTACTTCTCATGTCCATAGGTAGACAGTCCTACAGGCGAGGTCTGGGGTGGGAGTGGGGGTACACAGCTGGGTCTCATCTGTCCTGGGACAGGGTCAGGGAGCCCTGGGTGACCCTCCCCCCTCCCCCCAGCCCCAGATGGCCCTCCTCGCTGCCCAGTGCGGCCTGACGCTACAGCAGACCCAGCGCTGGTTCCGGAGGCGCCGGAATCAGGACCGGCCCTGCCTGACCAAGAAGTTCTGTGAGGCCAGGTGAGCCCAGGGCGGGCCAATTTGAGGGGGGGCCCTGGGGGTGCAGGGGGAGGGCCCCTCCGGCCGCTGCCTCATGGGCTCCCTCCCCGACCGCAGCTGGAGGTTTAGCTTCTACGCCTGCGCCTTCTTTGGTGGCCTGTCGATCCTCTACCACGTGAGTGTCCCCAGTGCTGGTGCCCTGGGCCTGGACTGGGGGGGGTGGGTGGGGTGGGGGTGGAGGGGCTCTGGCAGAGGAGGGCGCATGTGCAGAAGCCGGGAGAGCACTTGGAGAGGTCACGGCAGGCGTCCATCTAGGTGCCAGTGGAGGACTTGCTGTGTGTGGGAGCGGGGGTCGGAGTGAGAGCAGCCTGGGGAGCCCCCCTGCCCCCACAGGGTAGAGGGCAGGGCTCTGACCTTTGGGCAGCCTCAGACTCCACATCCCCGCAGGAGTCGTGGCTGTGGAGGCCGGAAATGTGCTGGGACAATTACCCGGTTCAGGTGAGTGGCACGTGGGGGGCTTGCAGGCTGGGGGAGTGGGGGGGGGTCAGACTTCCTTCAGCCACCTGGACATCACACGATTCCTGAGTTCCACTCCGTATTTCTGCCTCCTCTGTGTAAGGGAAGGGGGTTAGACGCCAGGCAACTCAGAGCGGGAGCTGCCACATAACCACTGCCCTTGACTACCCCCGGGGACAGGGAGCTCACCCCTTCTTCACTCACTGGGATTCCAGGGTCCTGGTTTTGAGCAAACAGGGAGGGGCCCTGAGCCATGAGGGCCCCGGGGGAGCCTCCCCGCCCGCAGCTAACCTGGCCCGCACCCCGCAGCCCCTGAAGCCGGCCCTGTACTGTTGGTACCTCCTGGAACTGAGCTTCTACATCTCGCTGCTGATGACGCTGCCCTTTGATGTCAGGCGCAAGGTGAGACCAGGCGGAGAATCTGGCTGGGAAGCGAGGCCCTGGGGGAGTTGTGACCCAGTCTCCCACGGGGAGGGGTGGCCTCACCCCAAACTCTCAGACCCCCTCGCCCTCCCCCCTAGTGCCTCAGATGGGAGACCCCGGGTCCACAAGGTGCAGGTGGGCTACCCCTCCCCTGCCTCACCGCCCAGCCTCATCCCTGCGTGACCCACCCTCTCCCGCAGGACTTCAAGGAGCAGGTGGCGCACCACTTCGTGACCATCATCCTGATCAGCTTCTCCTACAGCTCCAACCTGCTGCGCATCGGCTCCCTGGTGCTGCTGCTGCACGACGCCTCCGACTACCTCCTGGAGGTGGGCCTGGCCCCGCCTGACCCCTCCCCTGCAGGGAGGCCCCGCCCCTGCCCACCTCCACGAGGCTCCACCTCCACGGGGCCCCGCCCCCTTCTGGCCTCCAGGGAAATTAAGTTTCTCACGCCCCCTCCCAGAGGCAAACTGCTTCACCTTTCTAGGCAGTTCCTGGAGAGGAGGCCCTGCCCTTTCGCAGCATCCTCCTTCCCACCAGCTCCACCAGCCCCACCCCCCCTCACCGTTGGCCTGAGGCCGGTTCTCTGCTGCCCTCCCCAGGCCGGTAAGATGTTCAATTACACGCCCTGGAGGAAGGTGTGCGACACCCTCTTCATCGTCTTCTCCTTGGTCTTCTTCTATACTCGCCTCGTGCTCTTCCCTACGCGGTGAGTCTCCCCTCGGGTCGGTTGGGGCGCAGGGTGGGTGTGTCTGAGATCCAGCCCTGCCTCATCCTCAGTTTCCTGACTCACGGAGTCGGGCGGTGTGTGGGGGAGGCTTCCAGGCTTCCTGGTACTGGGCACAGTGAATGCAAAGGCCCAGTGGTGGGAGAGGCAGAAATCTGGACTCAGACATTCTCCACATAGAGGAGGAGGCAGGGTTCAGGCACCTGCTCACTAAAGTCTTTGCCCAGTCGGTTTGCTGAGCCTCTCACAGCAGAGGGAGCAACATGAAGATCGCTTGGTCAAATGGAGCGGATATGGGTGGGTGGGTGGGTGGGGACCATAATAAATAAGGTAAACAAATAGCATATAAAGCATGAGAGAGTGATGTGCTGAAGAGAAAATGAGGTCAGGAAGGGCACAGGAAGTGTGTAGGTAGTTGGAATTAGGGTGGTCAGCGAAGATATCACTGACGGCATTCACACAGCCTGGAGGGAGAGAACCGCACTGAGCCTAGGGGAAGAGTGGTCCAGGCAGCAGGCACAGCATGTGCAAAGTCCCTGGGGCAGGACTAGGCTTGGTGTGGAGGTACAGCAAGGAGGCCCATGTGGCTGGAGCCCAGTGAGCGAGGTGGGGTAGGGAAGAGGGGACAGGGCAGGTCGTTGGGGGCTTTGGGGGCCTCAGGGAGGACATAGGCTTTTACCCCAGTGAGGAGGGAGCCCTGGAGGGCTGTGGGCAGAAGAGGGACAGACCCGGCTCACAGGTGCCCTCTGGTGACTGCTGGGGAATAGCTGGTGAGAGGCCGGAACAGGAACTGGCAAGGGGGGCAGCGGAGCTCGGCAGGTGGGGTGGAGGAGACTGTGCTGGGCCACGTGAAGTGCTGTGACCAGTGGAGCTGGACCAGTGCAGGTGACAGGTGGGTACCCTCAGGGTCACTTGAGGGTCACGAAATGGGTCTGAGCTCAGAGTTGCTGCTTGAGGAACAAGAGCTCAGCTCTGGCTGTGCTGATTTGAGGGGTCTGTGGAGACCCCAGAAATGTCAGGAAGGAGGCAATGGGTACACCAGCCTGGGCTTCTGGAGAGAGGCGTAAATGTGCAGAGTTCGCGCCACAAGATTAGATGGGGCCACAGGGGGCCAGGTGCGGACAGAGCCCTGTCCCCGAGCCCCCTGATATTTGTCAGTCAGGGGACCCTGTGGAGGCCCCAAAGCCATTTGGGGGCGCATCGGGGAGGGCGGGCCAGCTGGCTGAGCAAGGCTCGTCACTGATGATCCCACCGGCAAGCTGGGGGCCGGCGGGGGGTGGGAGAGCTCACTGCCGGGGCTCTGAGGACAGAAGAGAAAGTGTGAAAGAACACCCAGAGGAGCAGCTGGGCCTCTGAGCATCCCCTTGGGGTTCCAGGTCATTGACGACCAGTCAGGAAGCTGTGAGTTCTAACAACTTAATGTGACCCGGTGAGGAGAGGGGCTTAAATGCCCAGCTAAAGAGCATCGCTGTCACTCACTCAGGAGTGGGGTGGGCAGAGGGAGCCATGGAAGGTTCTGGAGCAAGGAGGGCCACACAAGTGAGAGGAGCTGCAGCCGCTGGTGAAGCCCCTCCTTTGGGTCCTGCCCCATCCCCCGCTGTAGGATCCTCTACACCACGTACTACGACTCCATTGCCCAGTGGGACACCTTCTTCGGCTACTACTTCTGCAACGCTCTCCTGATGGCGCTGCAGCTGCTGCACGTGTTCTGGTCTTGCCTCATCCTTCGCATGATCTACAGCTTCGTGAAGAAGGGCCGGGTAGGGCCGGGGAGGGGTGGCCGGCATGTGCCTCCCTGTGGGCCCCCCCATCCCCTCCCACGCCTCATGCCCCCCGCCCCCATTCCCCAGATGGAGAAGGATGTCCGCAGCGACGTGGAGGAGTCCGATTCCAGCGACGGCGAGGTGGCCCAGGAGCACCTGCTGCTGAAGAACGGCGCTGCTCACAGGCCCGGCGTGGCCCCCGCCGACGGTCCCCGGAGCCGGCTGGTGGGGCGGGTGGCCAACGGGCACACTGCGACCACATAGCCAGCCCAGGATGGCCTCGAGGGCCTGCCCCCTGTGCTCTGGGGCTTGGATTTGTGGGGCTGCTGGACTGGAGGCTCTGGAGACAGGGACAGCCCTCCCCCAGGGTCAGGAGGAGGGCGGATGATCTGTCTCCAGCCCCCTCAATGCCTTCCCTCCCATCCCCTCCCCTCCCCCCTTCTTCTCCCCTCCCCCCCTTCTCCTCCCCTCCCCTCCCCTCCCCTCGGGCACCTGGACAGAGCTCGGGAGGGTGGGCAGCAGGTCGATGCTGCAGCTCTCCAGAGCCACCTCCAGGCTGAAAGGCATCCAATAAAACTTGAACGGAGCCACATTCTCTTGAGAGCTATGTCCCTGTTCTAGTTCCTCCTCCATCCCTGGAGGCCCCCAGGGGACTCTAATTACACTCCCATCTGCCCCCAGGGACTCAGCAAGCAGTGGAGATGCCCCCCCCAACCTCCCCAGGTGAGTCCCTGGCTCCCAGCTGACACTGCAGCCAAGCCACCTCTTTCCAACACAGGGCAGCCTTGGGCGAGCCACGCGCAGCCCCAGCTTACAGGTGACACGGTACAGGGCTCACATATGTCAGAGGCTGGCAGCCACTGCTCAAGGCTGCAGAATTCTGCCCCCCCACCCCTGCCCCCAGAGGGGAAAAATCGGGCCCAGGAGAGGAGTTCCTTTGGGCTTCCCCAGGATCAGCCCAGGGAAGGTCACCACCTCTTGGGGAGCTCTCTGTGGGCAGGGCACCCTCCTCGAGACAGGCTGAGGGAGCCGGGACCCCCAGCTCCAGAAATCACGGCCACAAGGCCCCAGGCAGGGCCAGATGTGCCGCCTCCAGGGGCACCGAAGAGGAGAGGCATGGGAGTGGGAGGTAGCAGAGGACAGGGACACGGGGGAGAGGAAGTGTGTTAGGGGGCAGATCACCAACAGCGAGACAGAAGAGGGGGAACACGAGGAGCAGAGGTAGGAGAGGAAGAGGAGGGCTAGGAGGGTGGGGGGAGCAGAAGACCCCCAAGCTGGACCCTGGTGAGGCAGAGGAGTGAATCTGGTCCTGCTGCTCCACAAAGGGGAAGAGGAAGGGCCTCTCTCTCCGCTGAGAGGGACACTGGAAACAGAGACTGGAAGGACAGGGAAGGGACAGGCAAACAGGAGGACAGGAAGGAGAGACCCTGAGGGGCCAGAGGAAGAGGCGCTGGGAGAGGAGGCAGGGACTAGGGAGAAGATGTTCCGGACAAGATGCAAAGACCTGGAGGGAAGGGAAAGGAGAATCCAAGCAGGAGTTACCCAAAAGGAATGTGAAGTACGAATGTTAAGAGAAAGACAAGCAACGTCCATCATCCCTTGGTTTCCAAACATCTATGAAGAGAGCTGATCTGAGGGGTGCCCGGGTGGCTCAGTCGGTGAAGCGTCTGCCTTCGGCTCAGGTGTTGATCCCAAAATCCTGGGATTCAGCAGGGAGTCTGCTTCTCCCTCTCTCTGCCCCCTTTGCCGCACCCATGCTCCCTGTGAAATAAATAAAATCTTAAAAAAAAAAAGCTGATCTGAGAAGAGGAGGAGGGAGGAAGGGTGCAAACGGAAAGACGCTCAAGCTCGCTCAACGGAAGCAAGGGGCAACCAAAGATCACAGTGACATTCCTTTCTCACCAGCTGTCCTGGCACAAACACTGTCGACACCCACTGTTGGGACTGGCAGGGAAAAGGGACCGATAATGGTGAGCCCCAAGTGCACTTACAAGTCAGCAAGAAACGACAAACCGGTCTACACAAGAAGATAGGACCAAAAGACAGGGCCATTTAGAGCAAACAGTCAAGGCCAATAAACAGAAGAAGAGGGAGTCAGTCTCATTAAGGACCAGGGATATGCAAAGCGAGGCTAGCAGATGCCACTCTAGACCCATTCAATTGGCAAAAAGAAAGAAACTGGACAAAGCGAGGGTTAGAGAAGACGGGGATCAAGAATATAACAGCAGGAGGTGTGAGTTGGTATAATCGTTTTAGAAATCCACTCAGCATCGTGAAAAATTCTAGAGTTGAAAACAACAAAGAAAATGATTACCGTGTAGGCAGGAACATCTGTTCTAGTGGGGCGGTTTCTTTAGTAAAAGGGAAATATAAACAGAATCGTGATGTTACATTTGAGCTTGGGGGCAGGACGATGGGATTCAGATACACATACAGCCACTGTTTTGGCCTTCAGACTTACGAAGCGTCGCGACAGATACTCATAATAAATGTAACTTAAAAGGGGTATGCAAAAAGACAACCTACAGAACAGGAGGAATTATTTGCAAACCATAGATCTGAAAAGGGACTAGAACCCAGAATATATAAAGAACTCCTGAAACACGACAGTAGCAAAAAACAAAAACAAAAAAAAAGAAAGAAAAAAAGAAACACAGCAGTAGCAACAGGAAACAGTGGGCAATGGACTTGAACTGACATTTCTCCGAAGAAGATACACGAGTGGCCAACAAGCACATGAAAAGAGGTTCAACATCGTAAGTCCTAGGGAAATGTAATCAAAACCACAAGAGAGTATTTCACATCTATAAGGATGGATAAAAAGCAAAAACAAAAACAAAAACTGCTGGTAAATATGTGCAAAAAGGAACCACCCACATACTTTGCTGGTAGGAATGTAAAACTTAACCAGTTTAACCAGTGATTAACCATCACTGTGGTTTGACAATTCCTCAAAAAGTTAAATTGCCATATGACCCCAACATTTCCACTCTAGGTGTGCACACCCAGAGAATTGAAAACAGTTAAACAATACTTGTACATGAATGTACATAGCAGCATCATTCACAATCACCAAAACAAAAGGTTGGTTAGGAAACAACCTAAATGTCCCATCGGTGGGCAGGTGGGTAAACAGATTGTGGCATATCCATACCGAGAAATATTACTCAGCCAGAAAAAAGGAAATACTAAACCATGCTACAACGTGGACAAACCCCAAAAACGTTAAACTACACCACAGAAGCTACCCAAAAGAAAAGAGGTCAACAGGATATGAACAAACACGTCACAGAAGTAGAATTTTGTAAACATGGGGAAATACAATGGAATATTAATCTTAAAAAGGAATGAAATTCTGATACATGCTGTGACATAGATAAACTTTGAGGACATTATGTTAACTGAAATAAGTCAGACAAATCTTGTGTGAGTCCATTTACGACATGTCTAAAGTAGTCAAATTCACAGAAAGCACAATGGGGGTTGCCAGGGGCAGGAGGAAGGGAAAATGAAGAATTATTTAAAGGGTATAGAGTTTCTGTTTTGCAAGATAAAAAGGATTCTGGAGATTGGTTACCATGTGAATTGTAACTGAACTATACACTTAAAAACAGTTATAATAGTAATTTTTATGTCACGTGTATTTTACCACCATTAAAAAACAACATGGGAAAAAATAAAAATAAAATAAAAAACAACAACATGGGAAAGTCACTACACTAGGAATAGAGGGGGACTTCCTCAATTTGATAAAGAGTATCTACCAAAACCCCACAGCTAGCATCATACTTAATGGGGAGAAGCTTGAAGCTTTCTAAGAACAGGACCAAGGCAAGGATGTAGAACTGCCTTTCAAAGATCCTACTAGATCCTCATCAGTATTAGCTGATGCAATAAGACAAGAGATGGAAATAAAAGGGATACAGGTTGAGAAGGAAGGAATAAAACTGTCTTGTTCACAGAGATGACCAGCTACATAGAAAATCCAAAATAGGGCTACCTGGGTGGCTGCGTGGTTGAGCGTCTGCCTTTGGCTCAGGTCGTGATCCTGGGGCCCTGGGATCGAGTCCCGCATCAGGCTCCCTGAAAGGAGTCTGCTTCTCTCTCTGCCTATGTCTCTGCCTGTGTCTCTCATGAATAAAAAAAAAAAAAAAATCTTTTTAAAAATCCAAAATAATGGACAAAAAAATCCCCCTGGAACTAATAAGCTGTTATAGTAATGTAGCAAGATAACAGGTTAATGTACAAAAGTCAATCACTTTCCTATGTACCAGCAATTAAAAAGTTGGTTCTGAAATTAAAGCACAATACCGGGCAGCCCAGGTGGCTCAGGGGTTTAGCACCACCTCCAGCCCAGCCCAGGGCCTGATCCTGGAGACCTGGGATCGAGTCCCACATCAGGCTTCCTGCATGGAGCCTGCTTCTCCCTCTGCCTGTGTCTCTGCCTCTCTCTCTCTCTCTCATAAATAAATAAAATCTTTTAAAAAATAAAATAAAAGCACAATACCATTTACATGATCAGCTGAAAATTAAATACTGTGGTATAGGGCAGCCCGGTAGGCTCAGCAGTTTAGTGCCGCCTTCAGCCCAGGATGTGATCCTGGAGACCTGGGATCGAGTCCTACATCAGGCTCCCTGCATGGAGCCTGCTTCTCCCTCTACCTGTGTCTCTGCCTCTCTCTCTCTCTCTCTCTCTCTCTCTCTCTCTCTCTGTGCGTCTCTCATGAATAAATTTTTTAAAGTACTGTGGTATAAATCTAACAAAGTACAAGTTCTTTTTTTTAAGATTTTATTTATTTATGAGAGAGAACACAAGTGAGCAGGGAGGGGCAGAGGGAGAGGGAGAGGGAGAGGCAGATTCCTTGCTGAGCAGGGAACTCCACAAGAGGCTCAATCCCAGGACCCCAAAATCATGACCTGAGCTGAAGGCAGACGCTTAACCGACTGAGCCACCCAGGCACCCCTCATCCAAGTTCTATATGAGTAAAACTACAAAACCTGATGAAAGGAATACAAGAAGAACTAAATGAATGGAGAGGTATCCATGTTCATGGACAGGAAGACTCCTTATTGGCAACCCATTAGTTCTTCCCAACTTGATGTGATGCAATGTGCTTCCAGTCAAAATCCCGGCAAGTTTTCTCAGTATTAACAATACCTGACCCTAAGGTTTATGTGGAAAAGCAAAATCCCACAAGAGGCAGCACAGCATTGAAGAAGAACAAAGTCAGAGGACGACACCACCCAATGTCAGGACTTACTACAAAGCTGTGATAACCTAAGACAGTATGGTACTGGTGAAAGAACAGACAAACAGATCAATGGAAGAGAACAGAGCCCAGAAATACACCCACACAAGTACAGTCAACTGATCTTTGACAAAGGAGCAAAGTCAATGCAGTAGAGAAAAGACCATCTTTTCCACAGTGATGGAACATTTGGATTGCTGGAACAACTGGACGTCCACAGGGCGAAAATGAATCTAGACACAGAGTTTATACCCTCCACAAATAAATTCAGAATGAATCACAAGGCTAAATGTAAAAATACCAAACTATAAACTCCTAGAACATAGCAGGAGAAACCCTAGAT